TCTTTTCTCCCTCCTCTCTCTCTCTCTCTCTCTCTCTCTCTCTCTCTCTCTCTCTCTCTCTCTCTCTCTCTTTCTTTCATCTCGTTTTTAATCGTTCGTCCCACATGACATCGTTGTGTCGTTTTGTACAGCCCACCACCCGCCTTGGCACCCCGCCCGTCGATCCACCCAGCTTACGATCAGTCCAGGTAAAGTCCCAGCACGATTCGTAACGCTCTCGTTGATCTCGATCGCCCTTCAAGATCGTCAGTATATAATTTAGCTCACAAAAATCGCCATGCGAGACGTCGCTGCTCCGATTCAACGCTGTGGAAATTAATTTTTATCATCGAGAATAAATCAAAATAACGTAACCATAAAGTGATGTTCCACCAGTGCGATTGGAAATCGTTAATCGTATCTTGCAGCTTCTGCATATATCCGAGTATAGTGTATTTTCATGTCTTTCCTACTCTCTCTCTATTGGCATAAAAATAAGTTTGAAACTGCTAAATTGTTTACTTTGTTTATATGTATAGTGAACTTTCAATTTGTGGAAATCTAAATTCAAATTTGGCATGTAAAACGAAATGGAATTTTAGAATAATTAATTAATATAAAGATAATATACTTATTTTAATTAATTTAAAAGTCGATCAAAATTATTCTATTTGTAGAAAAATAGCAATTTCTAAAAATTGATTTTTTATGCGTATATGTATTCTTGTACAAAAATTTCGTGGTTCTAAATAAGTAATAAAAATTAAAATTTTGAAAAAGGTAACTATCTTCGTATCATATATACACACGGTTGCAGCAATTAATTGGCCCCCAAAAATTTCATACACTTATAATCGAAATTATATGCAATGCAATTGCTTGCCTGTGACCTCCAGCAGAAATAACAGTTTCAAGCACGGGAGGAGATACAATGTTCCTTGAGATTTCGCGCGATATGGGTCACTGATTAACCTATCGCACTTTTGCATTAACAGGCGTTATCAAGGCAGCGAAATCTCGCATGTTCGGCTATATTTGGCACTGACAACCTTTTACAATCTACTCTCTGTGGTTGTGATTCTACTTTACGCCTAATTTCTCATGACGAGAATCACCTTATTTTACTTGACTCAATACTTATCATAATATTCGAAACAAAAAAGTAATAATAATTGATGTAAAATAAACTACTATATTAATTTTTCATTTTAAATGCATAATGTCCCACTTTTTATAAAAAATTAGAAGAAAATCTAAATTACAACAGTGGAAACTAAAGAAGAAAATTGTAAATTACAGGCACCAACGAGCAACAGTCTCATTGGTCCTAAGCCCTTCGGTGGATCGAGTGGCTTCTCATCGAATCTATCTCCGACTCCGACACTGAATTCCGGCGGCAGTACCTTGCCACGTCCTCAAAGCCAGACTGTGACAGGTAAGTCAATCTTATTATTAATATGAATATATTCGATGTAAACTCAAAGAATTGATGCAACAACACGAAGAAGACGAAAATTCGATCGTTTATCTTTCAACATCGATGTTCGATAAAAATGTTGCAAAGTATATAAAGATGTTTTTAAAATTTCTATTTTCTGCGACAAGTCGAAATATTCGATCTGTGAGTAACAACGGATAGAGAAAAGACAATCCTATTGCCTCCTTTCTTCATCTTTTTTTTTCATTCGAGGGACTTGCGTCGACTTTACGCAGTTATCTGAGAAGTCCGAAGAAGTTCAATCTCGTCGGTTTAAGATAATCGTGATCTTGTCTTGTGCGTCCTTGGCTTAACTCTGCCTTCGATTCTTACAAATAGGTCGGTACTCTACCCTGCCAAAGCCAAAAAGTTCGCCTTTCAGAGGTACGACGAATAGATTAGAGCCGCCGGTTGACCGAGTTTCGAGCTTTGGCTGATACGCCTCCTTTGGCTTACGTTCTCATATTTTATATCGCTGTTTCTCCCTTGCACGCAGCTCGTATATACATGTATCATTATGTCGATCGATCGATCATTGGTCCTCGTTGGTCTGTACATTGTGATGGTCTCTTTAAATAGTGATAGAGAGAGAAAGAAAGAGAGGGAAGTCCTGTCACTTCAATAGTCTCATTCTTGGCTCCTTATCATTCGTCGTTATCTCGACGACGACGGCGAACTCTGAGAGCTATGACAGTTTGTAGCGACCTTCCAAATATGCACATTTGTCCCTTCTTACTTTCATACTTTAAAAATGTTTACGATACACGCGGAAAATTGTTTAAAAGATAGTAGTAGCTCAATTATTTTAAGTACGTTATACAAGATTAAATTAGAACTTGTTTGTAAAATTAGAAACCTAACATTTAAATAGTAATGATAATATTTATGCACATTAAAAAATAATAATAAATACTTTTTTGTAGCCTTTCTTCTTTTTAATAATTTTTATATAATACTTTTTCTTTCTAAAAGATTTATATAATATTTTTTTATATTAAAAAAAACTTTATAGTATTATTTCTAGTAAAGAAATTTTATATTATTGCCTTTCATAAAAATATTATATTCAAAAAAATTTAGCATTAATTTTTCCGTAAAATACATAGATCGATCCCCATGTCTGTTCGTGAAATTTGATCGTGTTATCATGCCTCTCTTTCCGCGCATAATCTTTCTTTTATCTTTTTTCAGCCGGTCCGTCTTTCAACCCGAAACCCAGACCCTTCTCCCTCACATTCGCATGAATCAATAGCTCTCAATGGCGCCGTCGTCGTCTTCATGCTGGCAACCGAAATGCAAACACAATCCAGATGATAAAAGTGCCAGACTATGAAAACCAATTTCACTGCTCACGATTTTTCTGCGAGTTTTATAGAAAGTTCCTAACATTTCTCAATATTTTTCGATTAGATAATATGAATGAGAAAAATTATCTTTAGTTATTTTAATATATATCTATCTGTTTATCAATATAATATTGCAATGCTTATTAATTTATTATATTATATTCCGATCATATTCGGAATTGTTTATTTTATCTCTTTTAAGAGAAAAAATCGTGAGATAGCACACTGACTTAATAATTTCTGAAGTGTTACTTGGTGACAATTTGTATTGTCATCAATCCAGGGTGTTAAATAAATAAATAAATAAATGCAGACGCGAAATAAATCATAAGTTCTTCGATCACACGTCTACTTTGGTTTTTTTTTACTGCGCCACATTGTTTCTTCAGTACTTGCCCACAAATTGACACTTACAGCGTTTTTCATCGCTTCGCATCGATGATCTCAAATATTCGAGATATATCGATGCTAATACGCATTGTGGTTGTAGAATCTTTTTGCTAATTACGACCGATCAGCACGCAGCTTTCACGCTGCTATTTAAAGTATCGAGTGTCGAGTGATTATCAAAAATGCACATTTAGATAATAATGATTGGAAGAAAATCTTTTCACAAAGACTAAATTTTTTAAATTAAATGCCTTATAATTTTGCTTCTTTTTCTTAATTTTGCATACCGAGCTGTGCTCGTGGTCCTCTTCCGTCAAAAAAAATCGTCAGATTAAACACAATTTTATTTATTAAATTAATATAACTTTGTGTTTCTTTGTTATTTTAAAATATTTAGTTCTAGCAAAATGCTTTATAAATAAAAAGTTAATTAAGTGCATATATTGTAATTACAAAATTTGTAATTAACAAGATAGCAAAATATCTTTTAAGAAATATTTGCACAAGTGCATAATGAAAAATACAATGGATATTTTTATATTATATATAAAATAAAATTTTGGGAGTATTATAATAAATTATATTATATATTTAAAAATTATACCTTGTCATCTACTTTTTTTTATCATGATTACTAATGCTTGTAATTATGACTAAACAAACTCGCCAGTTTCTAAGAATTATTTGACAAACTATTTATTGCACTTGTGTATATTTAAAATACGTATTTTTATAGATTCAGAAAGAGACCACGAGCGCGCGCGGTTCATCGTGCTTCTTACTCACTGCAAATTTCTCTGTTTTTTTTGTTTGTTCTTTCTAACGTACCCCGACGAATCTAATCGATCACTTCCTGAACGCGTGCATTATACACTTTTTGTGTGTCGTGTTTTCTCTCCCCCGCAATTCCGGCGAACTATCTCTATCGCCCATCGCCATCCCCATTTGCCAACTCAGAAACTTCCAACAGCGAGACTTACGAAAGATCCTGTTATTACGAGGTCGTAGAAAACACGAAGGATCAGTCCTTCCGTTCTGGCTCCGTAAGATCCCGTCGAAATCTCATTTGGCCGCCCCCGAAACCTATCGAAGATATCACATATCCCACTGCCAGTCCCTTATATATCAATCCAAATCCTATTCTTGATAAAAGGTGCCATCAAATTAAAGAAAAGCGTGCCAGTATTGAGGCTTGCGAGCGAGCTTTGAGCCGTAGAACCGAGAGGCATCGAAGCGAGAGCATCGATCGAGAGGTCGAAAGAGTATTGAGGGAGAACGGTCATCGGCACGAAACTGACGCGATGGATCGGATTAGCTGCCCTGGGCAACCAGTGTATCGGCGTGTCGAGCTGGTGGACACCAATAGCAGGGCCTCTCGATCGGTCTCGAGGCCAAGTTCGACTGACAGCGTCCGAAGATCGCTGACGCCCACCAAAATTGTCCAACCTATTCCAAAACCGTGGACCGCGACCGTCAGCAACGGAGGTACCAATCTCTATCAGCAAAGTTATGTAATACCGATACAGCAGGAACAGCCTACGGAACAAATTTGCAAGAAATTCATGCAGCGAGAAGTTTGTCACCGAGAACGTATATCAGGCGGCAGGGAACATCGGGAGGAACAACGAGCTTACAGAACAGAGATTTGTCGAAGGGAGCAAACAATCTGTCCGAAACCGCCCTTGCCTGCACCTAAGCAGCAACAACCAGCAGAGACGGTTAAAGAAATAGATACTGAAACAATCGATCTAAGGGGTAACGAGACGGACGAAGGGGAAGTCTCGAAGGGAATTCAAGGCGAACATGATTTCATCACCGAGACGGCCGAAGAGACGGTAGACGGTGTGCACACGAAGCAATCGGCAACTTTCGAAAAGACCGTGGAAAGGATGCCATCGCCGATAGAAAGAGCTAACGTTCCGATGATAGAAGAGGCGGAAGACAAGACGGAGTCTCAGTGTTTCGCGAGAAGAACTGAGAAACACATCAATCGACAGGTGGAAGACACGACGGAACGAACTGTAGAGGAGTCCGCCGAAACGGTCACGTCGGCCATCGATGCTCAACAGATGTTAGAAAAAGCAAAGCAAGAGGAAGAGGAAAGGAAGAGAGAAGAAGAAGAGGAGGAACGAAGAAAGGAAGAAGAAGAGAGAAGAAAGCGGGAGGCAGAAGAACGAAGACGTCAGGAAGAAGAAGAAAAAAGAAAACGAGAAGAGGAGGAGAAGATTAAGAAGCATGTTACCTTTAGTGAAGAGGATGAAGAGGTCGAAGAAGTGCGGGAACAGCCGTTGGGAAGGACTGTCGTGCGAGAAGAACATATCACAGAATCGGACGGTTCTACTCCAGGACGAACCAAGATCACAAAAGAGACGTACGAGGAGATTACCGAAGAAGTGCTGGTTCAGGAACGCGTGAGAAGAAAAGGAGCCGTAGAAGACGAGCGTAGAAAGAGCTTGCGTGAGCAAGTAGAAGTCCATCAGAGCCTTCGAGACCAACAGGCCCCGGAGAGACGGAATGTTGTTGCGAGATATGGACAGCAGCCTCAAGAGACCATGGAGACATGCAAGAAAAAAGTACAGTTCTTGAAAGAAACGGAAACTGGCCCGAAACCCCTGTCAGACACGCCCGTAAAAAATTCCACGCCCAAGGAATGGAAATCTGAAATGGTAAACGCCTTGACGACTGCATCTGATCGACCATACACGCCGCTGAACGCCACTTCCAGCGTAAAAGAACTCTACACCGAGGAAACCATTTACTTGGACCACAGATGTCGACCTAAACCACCGCCGCCCAAAGAGGAGGTTCGTCCAATCTCGCCTTTCCAGCAAGCACTAACGATAGCGCCTGAACGACCTTACACTCCTCTGAGTCGCGAAATCGGGCCAGAAGATCAACAAATTGTCAACAAATCCCAGAATCTGAATCTTGAAGCACAAAATGGCGACTACTGCCCGCCGTTAAATATTCTATACGGTAAAGAAGGTACAACGAAAGAATCTTACGCGCGAGAGCAGATGTATATCAAGAAGGAAGTCAAAGAATCGAGGCCGCGACCTTTGCCCACTCCGCCACCTGATCATCGTCTGAGAGACTCTTCGGCGTCACCTAACGCGAGATCTCGACCGGAAACGTTTAAATCATACAAATCTTTCACAGCTAGTCTGAAAAAGCCGGACGCCATACCGGCCTATCAGAAGAATTTGGTGGCGATGAAGAAAGGACCTGTAGAAGGTCAACCGTTTGTTCCTAGTAGAACACCTACCCCAACGCCTTGCAGATCCAAGTCACCTGCTCAAGGACCACCCGAGCCTCCGGCTTGTTATGTGAAAGCCCAAGCCCCAAGAGTTCGAGAAGATCCACCACCGTCGAAACGTGGTGGATCAGTGCACTTTCCATCGCGTAAAACGATCTCTTACCACGTGGAGGAAGATACTGACAGTGGTCATAAAAAGCAGGAATATTCCGCTTCGAGGACTGTCAATTACGACGAGAAGGAAACCAGCAGTCTCGACGCAGGTCCGACAGACGCACTTTACGCTCAGTTCCAGGAAACACGGTGTATGACGAGTGAAGAGACTAGCCAGCAGGAGAATACTGCGACTCACGTAAAGACATCACTTCAGGTAGTCGAAGATTACGAGAAATGTGAGCAAAAAGAAGTATTACCGGCAGCATCATCGCCGCCAACTCCGAAACCAAGCATCTGTGCCATCAGTAAGATGAGCCACACGAAGCCTTCCTTGTCGTGCCCCATGACAACATCTACGCCAATCAGACAGCCGACCTACAGCAGTTCCACCGAGGTGCGTCACGTGCGATATGAGACTCCTTCACCGAAATCTTGTTCGGAAACAGGAGTGACTGTTCTACCTTGCAAAGCGCATTCTGATCAGGGAATCAAAGCCGGCGTCGTCGTAGTGCCCTGCGATGGCTCCCAGACCACCTGTTCTAGATCCGGAATCTGCGTGACAGCCACGAAAGACCGATCGGGCGTGTGCGTATCGCCTTCGTTCGGTATGCAATCCGGTACTTGCGGTCAACCGTCAGGTACTTGCGGTCGCGAATCTGGCTGTGACTTCAACATCTCCAACTGTCCGGATTCTGACGTCTGCATAGCTCCGTGTGCCGACGGTTCCGTCTGCGTGGCACCTTGCAAAAAATCTGCCATCCAATCCAGGGCAAATCTTCCCTTCCCACAAATTCCACTTCCCTACGAAGAAGCTTCCCCACCGGTTCCTCAATGTTCAGCTCCTAACTTCAAACCTCGCACTAATTTGAGTGGCCAGCTTGCACGATTGACCGCCAAGAACGGCCAGTCAAACGTGCCCGTGGTACAGCTTTACAAGCCGATTCAGACTCCGGCTCAGACACCTCAGATCCAAAACTACACCGAAAACACTTATTACCACACTCAGAGTTACCGCGAAACTCATTGCGAGTCCGGCAATCATTGCCAGAACACTGAGAACCGCTGCCAAGACCAGATCCATTGTGATCCCCCTAGTAAAACCCAGAGTTTAGTAGACCCACCAAATTTGTCGTCCCACCCGGATCTAGGTTCTGGAATCGGTGGCCTCGGCAGCGCGGGTCCCAAGAGCGGATCGTTCGCCGGTAGCAGCGCGCCGAAACGTGGACGGGGTATCCTGAATCAGGCTGTCGGAGCGGGCTCGCGTATACCCATGTGCGCTCACTGCAACTCCTACGTCAGGTACTCGGGATTGTTCGGATAATGATGATGATGCCTGCTACTTTCGTTGTTGCTTTTCGTATTTTTGTCTTGGACGTGTATATTTTACTTTCTACAAACGTTTTTTTTCTTTATATTGGTTTTGCATTGACGCATGTGTATGTTCGTGTGTGCGTGTGAATCTTCTTATTTTTAAGGTGTTTTCATTATCTCTAAGGAGTTTTTTTTCGATTTTGAATTGCCGAAGAATTTTTAGGAAAATCGGAGCAGTTATGTATTTTTGCATTGTCGTCATGTGTGGTTAAATTAACTTCTCAGATTTATATAAATTTCGAAGTGCACAATTATGCATTATTTTAGGTAATGTAAGTAAAAATATGTCACTATAGATGTAGTTAAATATAATTTAAAAAATTTTATATTATTAAATTGAAACGCAATTTTAATTCTTTCTGTATTACTTAATTTTATTATGTAATATTTTTCAAAACATCTAATTAAGAATTGTAATTTTTTTCAAATTTTACTATTTGCATTTTATATTTTATTAAACAATGCTGTTTGTTACATTTATATGCTTAAAAATTTTTTATTTCGTTTATCAGAGTGATACATAAGAGTTTATTGCATTTGTTTGTACCAATAATTGCCTAAGGGATTAACACGATTTCCATTGCATGTTGTTGACAGCTAACGAAAAAAATACTAATCACAAGTCGAACGGCTTCACTCTAAAACCAGTGTGCTGTAAAGACGGCAAAGAGTGCACAAGGTTCGTATAAAAATCCACTTCACAAATATTTATTAACATTTATGCGTGTTTTCAACAATCACGTATTTTACGATAATCATTAAATTAATTATAATACAATTATAGAGGGCCTTTCATCACCGCTTTGGGACAAATCTGGTGCCCCGATCATTTTGTCTGCGTTAACGCCCAATGCCGCCGTCCTCTTCAAGACATCGGCTTCGTCGAGGAAAAAGGACAACTCTATTGCGAGTACTGTTTCGAGAGATTCATTGCGCCTACGTGCAACAAGTGCAACAGCAAGATCAAGGGCGTGAGTACATCTATCGATGACATATCGATATCGATAATTTGATATATTTGTTAAAATATATTAATATAATAATGATTTGATTTCTTCATGATCCTTTCCTCTCTAATGTAGGATTGCTTGAACGCAATTGGAAAGCATTTCCATCCTGAATGCTTCAACTGCGCTTACTGTGGCAAGCTCTTCGGCAACAGTCCGTTCTTCCTAGAGGAAGGATTGCCATACTGCGAAGCTGGTTAGTATTTTCATAAAAAATATATATATAAAGCGTATCAATACTCATCACGGCAATATTAAATAGAACAAGAACAAACTAGATAAATTTTTAGAAATGCCATATTCGGTCTGAAGAACAAAAACATGTATTAAATTTTAAATAATTTATTCAAATTAATTTCATTATATTCAATTAAATTCAATGAAAATTAATAATTGTGGCAATCTTTTCCTTAATAATAGATTGGAACGAACTGTTTACCACGAAATGCTTCGCGTGTGGTTTCCCAGTCGAGGCTGGCGACCGTTGGGTGGAAGCCCTGAACAATAACTATCATAGCCAGTGTTTCAACTGCACGGTGAGTAAAAATTTTTAGGTGATGTTTATTTATCTGTCAAGACGCTACTTTTTATTTTTTGTATTATTTTCGTTCATCTTTAAAAACTTCACAATTTTTATAGTGTATCAAAAACTACAGTCTTATAAGCCGATACAAAACTATTTTAAGATTAACATATCGAACGTTTATTTCCTTTGTTGACGTATTAGATGTGCAAGAAGAATCTCGAGGGCCAAAGCTTCTATGCGAAAGGCGGTCGTCCGTTTTGCAAAAATCACGCGCGTTAAAATCACCCGTTCTCGACCATCGAAAACGATCGATGGGACGACAGGAGAGGAAAAAATAGGAAGATCAAAGAAATGGAGAAAAAGTTCAGCGAAGAGAGAAGCGTACAGTGTTAATGCATCAATTACTTTATCGTGATTACTTTTTTTTCTGTGTCTTCGACCGAGATCACTTGACTAACCCTTCATTAAATCCGCGAGCGATCCTTCGTACATCAACAAAAATATAAGATCAATTAGGGTGATTATGACAAAGAAACATCTTTATCGTTGAATTTGAAAATGAATCACAATATCGACAAAAAAGAGAATAATGGCTATTTATAGAATAGATATATCATAAAATGATATATAATGAATATAAAATACATAAAAATAACAAAAATAAAATTTTAAAAAGTGACAAATCAATAATCAATATAATATTATATAACGTCATAAATATTTTTTTCAGCGTCATCTATCACCCTGATTAATTCTACACAAAACACATTTTCACGAGGTTACTAGTAATGTCGCGCGTCGTCCGACGAGAGAGATTTATTAATTAATATTTATTATTTAGCTTAAGAATGGCGCAGGAGGCCATCGGCAATCACAACAAAGAATTCAACGGAGGTACATGTCTCCGTTTTCAATCTATAAAATTTAATAATTTATTAATCTTTTACTTATAAGTACTAAAATATATAATCAAAAGAAACTATATAGACGTATAGTTTCTTTTTAATCAAATATTCTTTAAAAAAGAGAGTTTGTTTTATCATAATTTTATATACATATTACGTCGCACAGCTTGCGTTGAAAACTCACTCGTGCTTTTTAGAATTAAACGATCTTGCGTCTATTAAGATGCAGTCTTATTTTGATATTTCGACAATTCCGTTTACGAATATTCGGCCATCGTCGTATCGGTCATACTTTGCGTCGCGACAGCTACGTCGACCGCAAACGAGCGGCACAATTAATTAACGTCGGGGATGTTTGTTTAATGACGCATCCTTACACTTTGTGGTTCCTGATTTAATAACGGGAGGCCTAATCGCGATCCTAGCGGGGTTAGCGGAATACCTCGTAAAATCGTTCGTAGCAGGAAACACTGAAATGATGCAACACATAACGAACGAGCCGCCGCCGGCGGAGTCGTTTCGATCATGGATCACGCAAAGGTCATCCGAACAATTAGTATTAACGTGGGCATAATTCCGTATTTCCAAGGTGCAGCGGGATACAGCGCGCGATAACAAATGTCTCGGATGGCGTTCTTTTGCTTGGCGATCGACTACGGCGGTACATCGTAACGAGAGAAAGGGAGAGAGAGAGAGAAAGAGAGAGAGAGAGAGAGAGAGAGAGAGAGAGAGAGAGAAAGAAGAGAGCGTGATACCGTGAGAGAGTAGAATGAATGATTGTGGAAATCAGTTTGAAAGTATGAATGACGAGTAAATATGTTAATCGCATAAAGAGAGAAAATGATCACATAGTTTCTGAACAATTGAAATTGCATGCGATTGCGAATGCATTAGATTTTAGACACGGACAATTCTGATATAAGATTGATATAAGAATGATAGTAATAAAATAAATTCAATCAATTTCACTTCATTCACATTTGCCTTGTCTTTTATGATTTAGTCTTTTTATTATCAAAATTTGTTATTTTCTTAAAATAGTCCAATAATAGCAAATTTTATTGTGAATATATGTATAAGGCAATTACAAACACAAGCTTTTTTGAAATCAAATATTATATTAAATATTATTATTTTTTCTTAATGACAAAAGAGAGAATTAATTTAGTTCCAAAGTTATTATTAGTCGATGAAAAATGTCATAACGTTTAATAAACGGTTGAAATTTGATCAACAAATACTTAAAAAATTATACTCGGAAATATGCTAGTCAAATGCTCAAAATTCTGTTCTTAAAATCATGAACACGTGACGGTAACAAATTGCTCTTAATTTGTTAGACGAAAGAAATGTACGCGAAAGAGAAGTAATATCTATTAATTTATGAGAGTCAGTCCGGACATATTTTGTGCATGTAGGTCGTTAAGAAGTATTTGCCGAAGATACTTAATAGCTTTACTAAATCGACGACGAGCAGATATATATTCTTAGTGCATGCAAACTTCACCGTAAGTCATCCGCGAGTCCGCCGTACCCTGGAATCAGCCGATTAAAGCCGAGACTGATAACAGGTTCAACATGCATCCGGACTTTCATTTAATCAGCCGATCGATTCGCAAGTTGGAAAAAACGACAGGCTAAAATTCGCACGGTAGCAATGACCTGTGCAGCTGACAATTCTTGACTCTTTAAACTCCTAACTACTATAATCTTAACATCAGTCTCTTTAAAGAGAACTCGCCCCCTAAAATTGTCGTTAAAACTCTTCGAAATAAATTCATGTCTAATTTTTAGAAATTGTTTTAAACTTATATTTCAAATAACGCAATAATCACAGATTGCGCGTATGTTTCTAAAAATCTCTGGATATTTAACTTTTCTTAACTTTTGGAAACCATTACATTTAAATTTGTGAGTTCTCGATGAATGCGATAATAATTGAATTTATATAGATTTAATTCGTCACAGATGAAGACAATGAAAGAGACGTTCGAGATTTTCCAGGATATGAGGATACGCAGAAACGAAATAATGTTGATTTCTCGTTGTCGGCTCCATTTTATAAAATAAGAGACTCTAACAGACAGATATCGCCGTAATATTATGTTAATTCTAATACGTTACCGATTTTCTGTGCCATCTGCGTGAGCTTCTGTTATTGCGTAATTATTCTTTCTTTGTGAATGAGAACGAGCATGATAAAGGAGAAAAAGGATACACGTGTGAGAGACTTCGACAGAACTCATTTATTCGTGGAAGGTAATATATATATATATATATAGCGTAATCCTGTAATTATATAGCGTGTAAGTGTTTAAAGCTGCGTTCAGGATGATTCCGAAAAAGAGAAGTACAGTAAGCAAAGAATTTAATTTTACCTGCACAATCACGAATAATCATCGACGAAGGATCGATCGATCATCGACAATTGTACAACGGCGCGGACCACGAAATCTCAACTTTTACTTGGCTGACTATCGGCTGAGCCTCGCACAAGCCTCTGTATGCGTGTTACGTGTTGCTTATAAAATAAAAGAAAATATTCATTTGAGAGAAATTTCCAAGTTTCTTATCCCTCCCGTTTTGTCGGTATCGAAATATTTTAAAATGAACTATTAAATCATCATAAATTTACTTGTTAAAAAGCAAAAAAATTTTAGAGAAACTTTTATAATTTTCAAGAAATCTTTAAACTTGTTTATTTTAAATCGATTTCATTATATTTCTTTAAATATGTCTTTTACATTTATTATATATAGGTATATATATACCTATATGTATATATATATATATAATATATATTTACGAATATGTACTGTGATTAAAAGATAAGATATATCTACTAACAATCATTTCGTCCAGGAACCGATCACATTTTCCGGAGGCAATATAAACATAAGGCGCTATCAACAATCCAGAGCCCGTTTGATTAGTAGCGATATTAAGAGGAATATAAATAGTTTGAACCAGCGTATCATCTTTTAAATCGAAGATCAATAGTTTCGGATTACAAGTTTGATTAGGCCCATTTTTCCCGTTATCCAGAACAAAGATGTAATTACATTGAATCTGAGTGAGAGTAAAAATTCTACTTCATGTATTATGTCATTCAGTTTATTATTGTGTGTGTGCATGTAGGTGTGCGTAATACATAAAGAACTGTTGGTAATTTAAATAATAATACACAAATGTAAGATGTGAAAATCGCTTGAAAGATATTAATACTTACATGCACTCGGTAAACATTTAGAATACCTTCGCATCTACAACTTCTATTATACCAATTCCAATCTGGATACGGACGTAGAAGTGGACCTCCTGGTCCTGTCTTATTAGTTACTGTCGCCAATGTAGCAGGTGAACCAGGGCCTAGTCCGCTCGGTAAAGTACCGAACAATCTACCATCTATAAGAATTTTGTTTGTAACCGGAATTTACGTGCGGTTAAAAAATATTTTTTTACTTTATAAATTTTATTAAAAAATAACAATGCTAATCGTTGCATTAACAGACGTCAAAGTAGATAATAAAACGTATAGATTATTACGTATAATGCGATTAATATTAGTTGAATATTATAACCGTGAGCCTTCGTTACTAAATGTAATCACATTTCTGCACAAAATTATTTCAACTTTTTCGAATATCAACCTACCTGCTGCTTTGTTTACATCATATAACAAACATTTGGATTGGTTGTAACGGCCAGATTTTATCGCCTGTTGCTTCTGCTCCGGACTGTCCCATGCAAAATCAACAAATTTCCATTTTTTTATAACATTCACTTCCAATCCAAAACTCACAATCGCCGTAGACAGAATTAGCAGGGCCAACAAAAAATGTCTCATTTTTTATTGTGGATAGCCACAGACAATATTGTGCCGTCCAGAGTCAAAACGGAATTCTTTCTTTCAGGATATGATTCGTCTTGGAATTCCAAGTTCCAAGAAATATGTTGCAAAGATGTCTTTTTGTTCAAATATTTATTGAAAAGTCACTTACTCTATTAACAATTGTTGTTTTACCTTTGCTGCAATTATATCAGTCTTTGGATGTAGTCGCAGTAAGATATTAGACAAAGGTATTACAATAAGGTGTTGCCGAAACTTTCTAAGTTCATGACACATAGGTCCACTAAACTTACCACTTACTACTAAACAGATTTTCGGAAACAATGGCTCTGATGCGTTTTCTCGTTTTTATTGTTAATAAAATAAGTATTTTGCAGTATTTCAATGTTCCACTTTGGTTTTTGCAATAAATTGCGTTTGCTCCGTGAAATGCAATGAGTTGCGCTAGGTAACAAATTTTTGAAGATACATGCGTTTAATAATTGAGTCTGTTTTTGGAGTGCAACAATAAAATAATATAACCGAACTACCAGTAAACATGTATTGCAAATGCGAGTGCGACGATGATCGATCGCTATTTGTACCTTTGACGCAATATACCATTACGAAAACGCAACGTTTTAGACAACTTCATTATACAATCAGTTCCAAAAAAAGCGGTACACAATAAATTTGGGGAAAAATTTTCC